ATTTATTTTTTTTAATTTTTTTTTATTTCACTTACAATTTTTTTTCCTTAGCCCGAGAATCATTAACATAATCTTCTCTATCTCGAAAACTAACTTGTTATCTGGTTGTTGAAGGATACGCGGGCAGCGTAATAGTGATCAAGACGGAATGTCGAACAGGCGAGTTGAGTTAGGATTCCGGTCGAGTCTGCTGTATTCATTTTCGCCTTTGGCAATAGACGTCCCATTTATTTATTTATTTTTATTTATTTTAAACAATGAGTATTACGTGATATCCGCTTGCGCATTTGGTAATCTTGATAAAGAAAATATGCTCTCTTGCGTCCTCCTTTGTAGGAAAAACCAACATGTGATCCAAAGAGCATCACATTTCAATAAAGATCTCTTTTTTTCTTTTTTTTTTTTCTTTTGTAGGAAAGCGTACTCAGTACCTCATTCAGATATTCCCGTATCTGCCCATTTTCATATCCGAAACGTAAACCAAGCAATTTTTAAAGAATTAATGGATTTTATTATTTTTTTATTCGATATTTTTATTACTTCAAACGTTATTTTAGTCATACTTTATATTTCAAATCAGTGGATACTCGCATTTGAAATAGACGCCCCATTTTTTTTATTTTTTTATTTTAAACATGGTTATTTTTACGACAGGCGCATTCTAGATGTTAATAAAGACAATGTGTTCCCCGGTAGGGAGAAGACGCGCGCTTTTCTTAAAAGGGAAAATAGAGCCTTATTTAATTGCCTACTAATTCATAGCGGTGAAATATGTAATTACTTTCCAAGAACGTTAATACAGAGCAACCTCGGTTCTCGAACGTCTCAGATGTCGAACAAATCGGTTTTCGAACAGAAAATTCGAGATGAAAATGCCTCGGTTATCGAACAAAATTTCGGTTCTCGAACAACTTTGCCGATCCGAGTTAACCCGAACGGAATCATTTCTTAGTCGACGCCATGTTGTATACATTCGTGTATTTTGCTGTGCTTTTTTTTTCCAATTTTATTGTACTGTGACTTTTTTCTCTACATTTATTCCTATTAGAAAAAAAAAGTTTCGGGTTACGAACGGCCTTCAGGAACGAATTAAAAAAAACTCGTGAACCAAGGTTCCACTGTACTCAAACATTTTATATTCAAATTTCCACCGAAAAAAAATGATCGGAAACATAGGAAAAATGACTAGAAAATTCCCGAATAAAAAAAATACAGTATTATAAATGAAAAATTGCTCCTCAAATATACACACAAATATATAAAGAGCTCACAGTCCCGGGCTACTTACCTCATAGCAAAACATGATCGCCTAAAACGTCACGTACATGGACTCGATGTCTACATCAAGGACGAGATTCCCTGTGGCAGGGACGCAAAATCGTGGGTCCTGATCTCCCACGGATGTGCTTTCGCGTGGCACTTATCCATAGTACCACACGTCTTTGCTCTCAGTCGCTCTCAGGAGGAACGGACGGTAATCTTCGATCGTATATCTGAGAAGATTGATAATACCCTCACTCACTTTCTCTCGGTTAGCTTTCATATATATATATATATATATATATATATACACACACAAACATACCGGTGTATCCTTGAATCAAGCCGAGCTTCTCGACTTGACGGTCGAACTCTCTGCTTCTGAGCAGAAAGGAACCCGGACGAGGCTCCGCCGAAGGGCAGAATCTCGTTCGGGGAGAATGACCAACCCGATCTCATTTATACGGGTTATACGGGCATTTTTTGGCTGAGCCTACGGGCTCGGGAAACCCACGATAAACTCGGCCTTGTGCCACATGCAACCCTCGGGGGGGGAGGGGGGCTAGATACCGGTGTATCCTCGGCTCTCGAACGTCTCGCATGCCGGTTTTCGAACAGGAAATTCGAGGTGAAAATACCTCGGTTATCAAACAAAATTACAGTTCTCGAACAACATTGCCGAATCGAGTTAACTCGAACGGAATAATTTCTGAGTCAACCACCATGTTGTATACATTCGTGTGTTGTGTCATGCTTTTCTTTTCCAATTTTATTGTACTGTGACTTTTTTTTTATTTTCTCTACACTGATTCCTATTGGAAAAATAGTTTCGGATTGCGAACATTTCTGGATACAAACGGCCCCCCTTCAAGAACGAATTAAATTCGTGAACTGAGGTTTCACTGTATAAGCAATAGCAAGATAAGCTAATCGCCTCCCCAAATCTGACCTCACGGGGAATCCCCATATCAGCAGAGCTTAGCTGAACACAGAGCAATTTAAAAATGGAATTTGGGCATCTATTTCATATTTAACTTCCACTTCTCGTTCCCCTCAAGTTTTTCTTTGAGAAAGAGAAACAAATATGTTGAGCCATTCCTTGCCCTGATCCCGCTTAAGAAGAAGAAAAATTCCTGTCTGCAATTTTTAGGTTTGTGTCACCAGCAGACTTGTCCAACCCAGCACATATTCCCCCCACCCCGCAACCAATGACTGTCATTTGAAGGAGGCATATTCTCCCTGCCTGTCACTCCTGGGTGTGCCACCCATTTCTTGGTTTTAAGCCAGGATTTGAAAATATTTTGTTTTGGCCTACTGGCTTGTTTACAAATCGGTTTTATTCGAGAGTAAACCACAAAAAAACAAAATTTTATATATATATATATATATATATATATATAATCACGTTTCATGTCGCTAATCTATTAGGTTGAGTCATGTTTCGTGAAATACATATTTGATGCGTTCGAAAACATCCCCAATGTTGTTTTTAGCCGAGGGACATTAGGGGTTTTGAGTCTTACTCCTTCTCCACAGCGACCCGATCGATACTGATTGGATATCGATTGTGTGCCATTTGTCAACTGCAACTATTCTCATTGTATAAGGCGCCCTCGCACACTGCGACTCCTCTAAATAATTTTTTTTTTTTTTTTTTTATCACCTTATTCTTCAAATGATAAATCGGGTAGTGAACCTTTTTTTGTTGTTGCGAAAATTGGTATGTTATCGGTTAGCACAAGATTTTACAACGAAGGTAGTTAATGTGTATATAACATGCAGACCCCCAACACACATAGTTTTTTTTTTTTTTTTTTTTTTTTTTAGGGGAATGCTCGTAGAGCCATGGTGGGAATGACGAAGAATCGAGATTGTAGAGGGCGAGTCAAACACCAGGGTAAAATATCAACAACTAAACTAAAAAAGTGCGCGATAACATGGGAAACTCTCTCTTTATCTCTCTCTCTCTCTCTCTCTCTCTCTCTCAACATTATTTAAAGGAGCCGAAATGTGGGAGGGCGCCTTATACAATGAGAATAGTTGTAGCTGACAAATGATACCATCGTAGAAAATGAATGGTAAATATCATACCATCGTAGAAAATGAAAATTAGATATCATACCAACGTAGAAAATGAATGGTAGATATCATACCATCGTAGAAAAATGAATTGTAGATATCATACCAACGTAGAAAATGAATGGTAGATATCATACCATCGTAGAAAAATGAATGGTAGATATCATACCATCGTAGAAAAATGAATGGTAGATATCATACCATCGTAGAAAAATGAATAGATATCATACCATCGTAGAAAAATGAATTGTAGATATCATACCAACGTAGAAAATGAATGGTAGATATCATGCCAACCTAGAAAATGAATGGTAGATATAATACCATCGTAGAAAATGAATGGTAGACATCATACTATAGGAGCACCGAAATTTTTTTAGCAGTTTTATTGGGAAAACATTTTACTTGTTTAAGATATTCAGACTTCGATGTGGTGTAATGGTTAACAGGCTTGTCTCGCCAGATCAATTAAAATTGAGTTGTGAGTTCGATTCTCACTGGGTGCCTCTCGGCCTTTTGGCTCGGGAAGGTTTAAATAATATTAAGCTCAAGCCCCATCGGGACTCCCCCACCCCCAGGCAGTACTTTTCCTTCGGAAATGGGGCCGGGTTTATTACCCGGCCCTTGTGACGTCCCTAAAAGGAGAAGTACCGAGGAGTTTGGGCAATTTTTCCACGTTATTGCCATTAAACCCACTTTAAACTGACCTTGTGTTATGTTCTTTAGCAACGTAGGCGCACTAAAAATAGTCTCACTTAGTGCTCTACACTTTCGGCCTTGTGCCACATCTAAGCAACAGTTAGAAAATTACTTTAGGTCACCTCGCCATGGTGTAATGGATGTCTCGCGAGAACAATTACGATTGAGTAGAGAGTTCGATCCTCACTGGGAGCCCCTATATTTTCGGCTTTGAGTCACATCTAAGCTACGCTTTGAAAAGCACCATATAATATATTCTGACATTGTGTCTGTAGGAAATTTCCAGTTCTTTTCCTCCTCCTCCTCTCTCTTTCTTTTCTATCATTGTGACACACTTTATTTCCCGATCTTCCGCTTCCGCCTATCCCCGCAAATCGTTTTATTTCATTACCCCTTTTCTTTCTTGTTGCTTCTCCCCACCCACAAGTGTTTTTTTGTGTTTTTTTTTATTCAGTCCCCTTTACTTTCTCTCCAACCCTACTCACCTTTGAACTCTATCTTGTTCATAGTCACCCACTTTTGTAACCCACGATGTCATCGAGTTTTGTTTTATTTTGTATCTTTTTCTCCTCGCCCGACCCTCGTCGTCCGTCCAAACATTCTTGTCTATTTGAATGATGTAAAACCATTTTTGGTCCCCCCACCACCACCTCACAAAGAAAAAAAAAAAAAAACAACATGCCCCTACCTCAGCTTGACATTGTTTACCAATACCCCCGCTCATAGTCCCCGAAGCCGATGGTTTATTTCCTTCTGAGAACGTTTTGCTTATTATTACGCTCTGCTTAGTGAGCTTACTCATTGTGATTATAATTCTTTTGGCATCAGTTGAAACCAGTTTTGTTTGTGGTTGAAATGTGTGCCGTGCCCTTTCGGGACGTGTGAAATCATGGCTCTCTACTACATCCCCACCCTTTGTTGCACCCAGTAAATGTTGACTCTTTACTGTTCCTCTTTGTCCCTGTAGCCATCCCATGTTGGAACAACGATTCCCGTGCAATCACCGAAGTTAAGCAACGTCGAGACTGTTCAGTACCTAGATGGGTGACCGCTTGGGAATACCAGATGTTGTAAGGTTGGATGTGCAGGTGGTGTAATGGATAACGGCCCGGAATTATTAATCTGAGAGCCGAGTTTCAATTCTCGTTGGGTTCAATATATTACGAGCCAAAAACCTTGATATGAATCTACGTCTTTTCCCCGCAGCTATGGGTTAATTAGTAAGACTTGTATCAATAAACCATTATTATCTAAAAAAAAAATTGCCATCTAAAATATTTTCTGGCTTTAAATAATCTGCAAAGAGTTAATAAGCCGTAAAAAACGAATCAAGACCAGGAAGGTTTGAAACGCTCGTACTTTTTAACGGGAGTGGAGGTTATACCTTTATGTCTATATTTCTGAGATGAGGTATTATGTACACTAAGGACACATGGTACAGTGGATAAATGCGTTAGTTAGATCCAGTGACAGGACCCAAAGAGTGTGAGTTCAATACCCGGTTAAGGCAGTGGAGAATTTGGAGAGGGGAATTAACAGGAGATAACTGACATCCATTAAAACATGGCATGTGGAACTAGAACAGTCTACCCCAGTGAGCGAAATAAAGGGTTCAGTTCGACATTCCAACCACCTGAAGAAGGCCGGAGCGTACAACGGCCGAAACATTGAAATAAATATGGCGACAAAGATGAGGACAATAGTCCGAATAATGTAAATAGGTTATTCCTTTGTTTCCGGTTTCGGCTTTGATTTCCGGTTGGTTCTAAAGTTTTCTCATTTTCTTTCACTCCAAATAACCTTTGACTTTTTGCCATCCATATGTTTCTGTTATGTCCCATGTCTCTTCAGGACCAGAGTGATCATTGCTCTCCACAACATCCTGTCTTTTATTGCTCTAAGTAACTTTTAACTCTTTACCACTCTTCTTTGTCCCTTGTTCTGTCATCCATATGCTTCTTCTACTTCTATACCTAAATGCATCTTCAGGACCTGGGTGATCATGACTCTCCACAGCTTCCTGTCTTTTACAGTGTAACCCAGATATAAGAGAGTTGTCGGGATCGGAGAAGAAGTCTCTTATATCCGGGTTTGGTCTATGTTATATACATTAACACAGGCTCTAATTTGGGACCAGGGAAAATCTCTCTTATATACGGGTTTCTCTTATATCCGGGTTACACTGTATTGCTCTAAGTACTTTTTGACTCTTTACCATCTTTCTGACCCTGCTCTGCCATCTGTATGCTACTTCTTTTATGTGCCGTGTCTCTTCAAGAACTGAGTGATCATGGCTCTCCACAGCTTCCTGTCTTTTGTTGCTCTAAGTAACTTTTGATTTTTACCACCCTCTTTGTCTCTTGTTCTGCTGTCCACACACCCACATTAAGTACTCACCGTTTCCCCTTGTATCTCTAGCCTCTAATATGTCGTGTTTTTTTAGTTCTCAAAGTCTTTTTCTTTTTTCTTTCTTTTATCGTGTTCCAGAAATTTCTACAAATTTTGAATATCAAGGGAGCTACACATTCTTCTAAGCTATGACATCAGCGCCCATAAACGTATACACATACTCATATTTTGATTGATTCAGATTAATTTCCTCATCTTAGAAATGTTTTTATCAAAAATCTTCCGCTGTACTCTCTGGCCTTTCTGAGATGAATCTTGTAATATATTCCCATAAAAATGCACACAAAAACGTACAGTTAAACTTAATAAACATATTTCAGATTTTCTACGGAATTCTTTTTGTAGAGTAAGCAATGTGTATCTTAAGAATACACGCTATTCTCCAATAAAGATGTGACATACGTGTGTTCGTTAAAAAAGGAAGGAAAAAAAAACGTTATCCTGAATATCCCCCCGTCTAAGATGAAAGCACAAAAATACTCAAAAAACAAACTAAATAAATGGAGGCTATTTCCATGCCATTGTGCAAAAGCTATATTTATTAATATCAAATGAATATGAATTAATCATGTCTTGTTCTGTAAGCTGCTTTCAGGGAAAATTAATAAGATAATAATTTGCTTAATGCTTTCCCTTGATGGTTGCGTATTATCCAATGGAAATTTAGCTTAAATATCACGCATTCTGTCTCTCTTTCGATCTCTCCTCATGTATAGAAAAATGTCAGATAATTGTAAAAAAAAAAATATTAAAATCTAAAGAAAAATAATATTCAATAAAAAAATCGGTTTATTTTTGAAAGAATTTGTACAAAATTTAAACTTGGAAAAGATTCAATAAGATGTCTCTCATAATTATGGCCTCAGAAGCTACTACACAGCATGCTTGGATCAGGTGATTTTTCTCATGTTCGCTACATCTATCTATCTCGCTCTCTCTCTCTACACACACACACACACACATATATATATATATATATATATATATATATATATATATATATGAAAAGACAATAGGAAAACTATATTTAGTTAGCCGATGCGTTTATCAAGGACTTTATCAAGGCAAATTGATAAAATCCCTCAAATGACGAAACACGTCGACTTTACCAAGTATAGTTTTCCTATTGTCTTTTCATTCATTTTGTGTCTTCTCCAGATATACTCCACCTGAGAATATATATATATATATATATATATATATATATACTTACCTTTTCTTTATTCCACACACATATTTGTGTCAATTTCTCTCTTTCAGTATTTCTATAGTAAGGCATATCTAATCACAGGTTTTCACACACACACACACACACACACACACATATATATATATATATATATATATGATTTGGCATACATTTTTTAATATAGCACACTCTCTTTCATTTATGAGGGTGACAATAGAAGCGCTAGAACCGCTGTAGGAACAAAAATCTAAACAATTAGTTGGGTTGAGAACTATTATGCTGGGTTATTTTTGTATTTGTGTGTGACATATGTGCGGGGGAGATAAGGGGTAAAGGTGGAAAACCTTCTTAACGTCGCTTTCGCCGACGTGTTGTTAGCTTTGACGTCTTCAGACAAGGTTGAGCGTGTAAAATTTCAGACATAGGTAAAATGTATATCTGTAAAAGGACAATATGAAGTTTTCCTTTTGTCTTAAAAAAAAAAAAAAAGAATACTACGTCACTTAAAAATCGAAAACCGAAAAAAGAAAATATAAAGTATAACAAATAAATAATAACAAGTAAAATAAATTGACCTAAATTCATCCAAATAAATAAATAAACTAACTGATCCCGATATACTAACCGTTAGAAAAAAACAAATAAAGATAATTGAGGTGGTGTGAAAGTGACTGAAAACGAGAATATTTGTTTTTAAAATAAATGTGATCACTGAAGACTTAATTAGAGATGGATAGCGGCTTGGAGAGGAGACACGGTGGAGTAATGGATAGCGGCTTGGATTGAGGAATCGGAGAGCCGAGTTCGAATTCCAGTCGAATCCATTACATTCACTTACGTGCTAACACCGCTTCTTCTCCCTCCAGCTATGGGTAAATAGACAAATACAATACAATTAGAGATGACTTTGAAAGAAGGTGGAAATCACCAAATAACGCCCCATGAGGAAAAATCATCATGAATTGCCCATCAACGGGATAATCGTATTGTTAATACCCCAGCCCAATACAGCTCAAATGTTTTCCATAATTGTGTTTTTCTTTCCTCATTAAAACCTTTCACTTATAATATTTATTTATTCTTTTCTTTTTATGCAGGTCTTCTGGTTGAAAGATGGTCAGTTGGTCGACTTCGCTAAAGATGACAATTACATCATGTCGAACGATAACAGTCTGATCATAAACCAGGCACGCCTGAGCGATATGGGAAACTACACCTGTGGAGCGCAAAATTTGGCCAGCAAAAGGCTTAGTGCTTCAGCCATGCTCACTGTCTTTAGTAA